GTGTGTGTGTGTGTGTGTGTGTGTGTGTGTGTGTGTGTGTGTGTGTGTGTGTGTGTGTGAATATTTGGACTATAGATCATCACTTGGCTAGGCACAGGCCAGGCTTGACCGAAGGTCGAACTACTGGCTCACCATCATGTGCCATGATAGATAGATATAGTCTTGATAGCTGTATGACCACCACGTACAATAGCTAGAGCCACTTTTACCTAACGCCTTTACATGTGGCCGCGATCGCCTCTCTAATAATTATTGTTTATGTTTCATAGTTATAGTTTAAAACAATAAAATACATCGAAGCCCGAGATATGTTATATGTCGGCATGCATTCGAGTCAAGACGAAATTCTAACGTTTAATCGGATTAGAAATATTACACATGCACGCGAGTAGTAAACACACGCGACAATTTATTGATATCATCATATCGGTTTAGTTGATATAGTTTGACTAACTCAAGCGAGGAACAGTAATGAAAAAAATACACGCCTATATTTAATCAGCAGGTAATAACATGCCCGTAATTATATATATATATATATATATATAATATAAACAAGGTACCATATATAACAAGAGATATAATAAGTATATATGTGTCTTCGTATATATATATATATATACACAAGTTTATCTAACAGTACATTTCTACGGATGCAATAGCTAGACCTCGTGGCCTATATTAGGGTTCATTAAAATAACTCTATTCACTCTTGTCTATAAAAATAAAGGCCTAGCGCTATTGAACACGTTAGATATAACTGAAAAACTTGCGTGAAGATGTGCTATGAAAATTGCTCGTGAGAATGTTGCGTATGTTTGCTTTGGTTATGTGAACGTGTTATACATGAATAACTCGTGACGAGATAATCACGATCACCTGATGATAATGAGATAACTAACTATCTGAGATATAACTGACTATAACTGATATAACTGACATATAACGATATGAGATAACACAATCTCAACGGTTTCATTCTATCGGGTATACCTCGTTTCCCGCGTCCATTGTCGATATTTATCCACGTATTATTTGTCCACGTATAGCCGTTACAAGATTAGCACGTCGTTCAATTTGTGTTTAAAGCAAAATTATCTTGCTATTTAATATTAATCTTGTATCACAAACCCTGAAGATTGCAACCGCACAAGCTCGCGTGACGGCTGTCTAGGTCGTATCAATGTCTCTGCTCTCGGTATACCTATAACTCTGTGTATATGCCTAACGTAGATGTAAATGCGCGTGTAAAATACGTTAATGTTGTGTTTTATACGACGCGATGTTACGTGCAGGGGCATTAACGCAGAGAAGAACAAGATGTATAGTTTCGGTAGGGGACGGTCGGTCAACGGCTGCTTATTTTAATCCATGTGATTTCCACTGTATTACTTGCACATTATACTATGTATATACTATTACATACATTTATATATGTGTATATTCGTATTATCCACACACACACCACACACACGCACACATACACCAGTTATATACTACTGAGATGTACTTTTATAGAACTATTTCTATACGGATTTGCGAATGTCGGTAAAGCGTATAGGAATTGAACCAAAGTCAGAGCATTCCAGAGAACATCGGATTGACGAGGATTGGCCATCCAGAGATGCAAAGGGGGAATATCTTCTGGTTAATCGAGACAAAAAATCGCACGCAGGTGTAGCGCGTTTACTATAATTTTGTCATGTATGTTTACTACTACTAGCGAACGTAATTATATACGTGAGCTTATTACCTCGATGACACGTTTAGTTTTTCAAGTAAAGCATCACGAAAAGTGAATGACACATAGGATGACGGGTGACCGGCGAGAAGAATGAATTGCGCTCGCGTTGATTGTATAGGAGGTCTTCACCCGTTTGTGTATTACTCACAGATCTAGTTTGTACGACCGCGCTTTCTAACGACGAGGTGAGCGTCGCTCAGTCTAAATCTCATTAATCTCATTATACACAGCATGTAAATACTGCTTACGTCTTTGGTGTCTTTCTCTCTCGTGTGTACTTTGATCACTGTGCTAACACGGAAGTTCCTGATGATAGCTGTGTGCTTGTTGACATCCTCTTGATTAAGGGATTGTTTAAAGGGGTTGGTTGAATTGACTGATTGTTTTGGTTGGGCATTTTTTCAGTAATCGTGTTGATAACGAGGAGAGTGGCTATGTTAATGTGGTAGCGCCATCTGTATCACAAATCCGGTCCAAAGGTTGGATTGGTCCACGACCGTTGTTCAATAGTTTGCGTGTGTGTGTGCGGGTGCCCCGTGCATGTGCGTGGCTCTGACCGTGCGTTGGCGTGCGTGCGTTGGTCGTGAGTGCGCGGCGCGCCGTCGTTGTGTGGTTTATGTGCGTCTTGTGTGTGTGCGTGAAGTGCGCGCGCGCGGGCGCGCGTGTGTGTGGTTTGTTTGTGTTGTGTGTGTATTGTTTGTTTTGGGGGGGGGGCGTGTGCGTTAATAATGGTTAAATAATGCCCTAGCAGAGAGCTTGTCGGTGTTACATTGTTGTTTATGCATTTTCTGCGCGCTCTACCTCTACGCTAATACGCTGCTGCGGCCGCTACTATAACCGCATTTACGTGTTTGCAGAGCCGATATCCCTGTACGACCCTATCAAATATCGCACGTCTTTCAAAAGGTGATCTAAATAGCTGTTCTCAGAAGCGAGAGGCAGTTACCAAAGATCCCTGTGGCGGACGCACCCTGCTCTACATCGAGCTACTCATTACATTGTGGCTAATACATCCTTATATACAATTCGTTATGGGTTATTCTCAAATGTTGATTCATACTTGCTTCTGTAAAAATGGGTTCCACGTAATGGTCAATTATTATGATTACATATTTAATTTGAACGATGCGATGCAACTTTTCTGGCTTATCCGCGAGCAGTAAAGGGATTGGGCCCGTCATAAATCCATTCACGGTGTCATTAAACGTACTTGGTTTTTAATCGCAATGCGTAACAAACAAACATACAAGTAACAATAAAGTACAAACTAGTAAACAAATCTCAGTAAGAGTGATGTGCTAGTGCACTTTCTAATAAGATACGCATCGTGTTTGTAACAAAGCAAGAGCTCGCGGTGTGTAACGCCCCTCGGATGGGCACAAATCGTCGTGGGAATTTCACCATGTGTTCAGTGGAATGTGGATCGTGGGACACAATCGGGACTATTTCTTTAGCAGAAAATTTGGCACCCGGAACTTTTAATTGTGCCTGCGCGCCTGATCACGGCTCATATGATATTTATCCTTCGTGATAAGTAGTTTTATAGTACCTAGATAGGAAGCAAAGTGGCAATCTACATTCTTGTGCATATATAAGGCTGGTATCACCATTACGGCGGCAGAGAACTTTAGCATTAACGCACGGATGGGCGCGAGAAACATTGTCCAACCTTCCTATCAGACCACAGACGGCCACAACAGCGCACCCCAGAAACGCTCCGCGGCGGAGATAAATGGAATAAAACTGCAAGTTAGTCATGTAAGAGTCATTTTACATCATTTTTTTCAAGTTTATTTTAGAATTGATGCCTATAACGCTGATTTGCTGCGTCGTCCTTATCTAGTATTTCTCCAGTCTGTGCTGTCTATAATAATATAGTATACCTCGTGTCCTCGCAAGAACGTTGGATTATTTTTGACAGCGAGTTTCTTTTATTGTTACCTTACTTTCGTCAGTAGCGAATGGCGGCTTTGCATCGCGCATTCTCTGCTACTCTTATTGCAAGATTAGAACGAGGCCTTTGATATGTTCTATACCCAGCTTCCGCGAGCTCATGGCATTTAGCGGACATTGGTCGTTAGTATTCGGATAACCTTTCCGAGCTAGAGAGGAATTCTGCTCTTCGCGCTCTGTTTTGTGTGTTATAAATCTATTTCAGTCACACACAAGCAGATGTTTCGCTCTCTAAAGAATACTCAACTATTTGGTAATACTTAATTCGCTTGTCCTCGCGGTTTTTAAAAACTGTACCTGATCCGTGATAAACATGGAATGCGTCACTATACCTTTCCCGGCGCCACCCGTTTCGAAGGCTGGCCAGGTCTCGACGCAGTCTCCGCGGTGAGACTCACGCAATTGGGCTAAATCTCACGTCACGAGCTCTCGGCCAACCTGGCCTCGGCCGCGCCTAAGTTCTCCGGAGACCGCGACCACACGATGTGGACATAAATTGCGCCATCTAAAAGCCAGCAACTCAGGCACCTTGCTCGTCATTACATTACAGGCTACATCGTGTATCGCGGAGTCAGATAATGCCAGTGGCGGAATATCAGACCGAACGTTAAGGAAAATAGGAGAATTAAGATTCCCTGATTATGCTACTCCTGATCGTGTATCGTTTTCTGAAAACTCCCACAGAGTGCACGCAGAATTGCAGCCAATTTCAAGCTGAGAAAATCGCAAACGGCCTCAGCCTGTGTGGCATGGCGCACGGCGCCTCCCCACCCCATCCCCCGCGCCGCCATCTCGGTCGCTACGCTCACCTTGCGATAAGTGCTCACTCTGCACTTGTGACAGCCAACTCATGTTGGCTAGCGCCTTCGCATGTTGGACGTGTCGTTTTGGTTCCAATGCTTGCAAAAAATAGTGCTAATGTTGAATCTCTGTCACGATACCAGCAATTCTTTTGCACAACAGTCTGTGTCATTCTGTGAGCAGAAGAAATGTGCAATTTCGCTGTCTTTACTACCAGCACTTGCCTAACGATTGTGGTGGAAAATGCGACGCCAACATTGGCGTCAACGCGTATCCCGTCTTATTGAGCCAAAACGTCTTGCAGGCAGTCGTATACATTTATTCTGGACAAAGAACAGATCGCCTTCCCCCGGCCATCTCAGAATCTTTCTCTAATATCCTTCCTTCGTCTTTGCTCGCGCGTATTGCGTGCCGCTATGTTTAAGATAACCGTGGTTGGTTCAACCTTCCACTGGCACTAAGAAATCAGTGATATGGTTGTGAATCGACCTTCATGAGGCTGACCTTCGCGCGCGCACTTTCTTGTTTCACGTTCATCTTTTCTTTCATCACATGAATGGCGCCAGAAGATAAAACCTGAGTTTTAGTAGTTCCGCTCGTGACAGCTTTATAGATCTGACGCAAGCGGACATTTTCAAATGTACTGTTTTGTATCTTTCATGTGGATACATTTCATATCCTAGACCAATATGAGTAATCATACATATAAATGTGTGACGTGACCGCATCATAGATATGCATATATTCCACGCCGTACACCGCGTGTGAATGAAAAACGGACATTCTGGTAGTTAAGCTTACGAGAGATAAGCCCGTAAAACAGTGTTTGGTGTAAATTACAATATACATGCCGTCGC